CGAAAGGAGGAGGAGAAAGCAGGCCCACACTTTGCCCCAAAGGCAAAAGCTACTCTGTACCACTTGGGCTTTTCTGTTCCAGCGATCACTCAGCAGAGGGGCTGTAGGGAAGGTTGGGCCTTCAAGGCAATTTCGAAGCCCTGATGGCTACATTGCAGGTGGCTCGAAACCTGTAATCCCAGCCACTTTGGGGAGGGCCGAGGCAGGCAGATCACCTGAGGTCAGGAGGTTCGAGACACCCCTGGCGCAACGTGGTGAAACCCCAATCTCTACTAAAAATAGCAAAAATTAGCTGGGCGTGGTGGTGGCGTCTGCAATCCCCAGCTACTCCAAGAGTGCTGAGGGCAGGAGAATTGCTTGGAATCTGGGAGGTGGAGGTTGCAGTGGAGCTGAGATCGCACCACTGAACCCAGCCTGAGCGACAGAGCGAGACTCTGTGCCCCCACCGCCCGACCCCCTAGAAAAAGAGCAGCTGGGCACGGTGGCTCACGCCTGTAATCCCAGCACTTTGGGAGCTGAGGTGGGTGGATCACGAGGTCAGGAGATCAAGACATCATCTGCTAATAGGTGAAACCCCGTCTCTACTAAAAATACAAAAAAATTAGGCCGGGCGTGGTGGCAGGTGCCTGTGGTCCCAGCTACTCAGAGGGCTGAGACAGGAGAATGGGCGTGAACCTGGGAGGCGGAGCTTGCAGTGAGGCGAGATCGCGCACTGCACTCCAGCCTGGGCACACAAGAGCGAAACTCTGTCTCAAAAAAAAAAAGAAAGAAAGAAGAAAGAAAAAACATACAAAAATTAGCCGAGGTGGTGGTGGGAGCCTTGCCTGTAATCCTAGCTACTCCGGAGGCTGAGACAGGAGAATCGCTTGAACCCGGGAAGCGGAGGTTGCAGTGAGCCGAGATTGCGTCACTGCACTCCAGCCTGGGGCGAGAGAGCAAGACTCCGTCTCCAAAACAAATAAACAAAAAAAGAAGTCCTAACCACAATGCAAGTTTGCCATGCAGACCCGTCTTCCTATCTTGGTTAATGACCAATCATGATGTGACAACATTGTGTTTAACCATATGAAATTGCCTTTCCTGTAGGTAAAAAATGGCCAAATGTTGGCAGTTATGTATGGCTCCACCAACTAGTAATAATGATAATAGTGACATTTATTGAGTGCTGTGTTCTAGCACTTTCCATAAACTATCTCAATGACTCTTTACAACTGTTCTGTAACGTAGGGTCTCTTGGAGGTCTCAATTTTTTATTATTTATTTATTTATTTTGAGAAGGAGTCTCGCTCTGTCACCCAGTCTGGAATGCAGTGGTGCGATCTCGGCTCACTGCAACCTCCGCCTCCCAGTTCAAGCGATTCTCCCACCTCAGCCTCCCGAGCAGCTGGGATTACAGGTGCCCACCACCATGCCCAGCTAATTTTTGTATTTTTAATAGAGATGGGGTTTCGCCATGGCCTCCCAAAGTGCTGGGATTACAGGTGTGAGACACTGCACCCGGCTTCCATTTTTAATTTTTAATTTTTATTTTAGAGAAAGAGTCTTGTTCTATCACCCAGGCTGGGGCAGAAGTAGTGCGATCATAGCTCACTGCAGTCTTGAACTCCTAGGCTCAAGCAATCCTCCCTTCTTAGCCTCCCAAATAGCTAGGACTACAGGCACATGCCATCATGCCCAGTTAGTCTTTTTATTTTTTGTTGAGACGGGGGTCTCGCTTTTGCCCAGGCTGGTCTCAAAAACTCTGGCCTCAAATGACTCTCCCGCCTCTGCCTCCATCTCCTGAAGTGCTGGGATTATAGAGGTCTCCATTTTACAGATGAGAAAGCTGAGGCTCAGAGCTGTAAAGTCAAATGTCCAATGTACAGAGGCCAGGAGGGAACTTCAGGTCAGCCAGACTCTAATATCTGAACACCAAGCTATGTCCTGGGCTCCTTCCATGAAAACAGAAAAATCAAACTATCTGGTGCCTGGGGCAGAGGAGTTGGGAGAGGGAGAAGGGGCCCAGCCACAGTGCCAGAAGTGCCATAAGCTTACGGCTGCGGCCCTGGATTTGTACTTAGCTCTGGCCAAGCTGTTAATCCCTATGACCTTGGGCAGATGTCTTCACGTCTCTGAGTCTCAAAGACCTCATCTGTACAATGGAATAGAGTCTGGCATGGCCCGACTGATGCAAGGGTTTGATGTGTCAAGTCGGAGGACTGCCCCTCCCCGACTGGAGCAGCTGTGGCAACAGGTGGCCCTGAACCTGGGGCAGGGCTCCAGGAGCTGGGGAGCCAAGGCCAGTAGACCACACTTGAGTGGGGTTGGGGCCTCACCTGGAGGGGGGGGCGGGGACCGGGGTTTACCTGGGGGGCGGAGATCGAGCCTCCCTGGGGGGTGGGGCCCTTCCCTGAGTGTGTGACCGGGGTGGGGAGGGATCCCCAGGTCGCGCCGTGGGGCGCAGACTCACCTGGCGGGCGGCCGCGGCGCCTCTGCCCGGGGGTCCCGGGGGTCCTTTCCTCTTGTGCATCTTCCAGGCTGGATGCCCGAACCACCTGCCCCCAAGCCCGGCCTTGCCCTGCCTCCTTCCCCGGGCCCTGTCGCCGCGCACGCGCCCTTCCTGAGTCCTGCAACCCTCGTCGGCGCTCCGCAGCCGTCGATCCCGAGCCCTCGCCTCCCTGCTTGGCCGCCCCACTTCCGCCTCGGGCCTCGAGCGCCGCTGCACCGGAGCGCGGCCACTGGACTCGCCGGGTCCGCCGAGCCGAAACTACAACTCCCGGCAGGCAGTGCGCGGGCGCGCATGCGCTTCGTCGGGCGGTGTGCACTGCCGCGAGCTGCGTGGGCGATGCTTGCGTCGCGCATGCGCGGGGCGGGGCCTCGCGAGGCGCGGGAAAGAGGCAGAGCGAGCGCAGGTGGGAGGGGCGGCGACCTGTGTGAGGTTCACAGCGTCCCTCAGTCACCGATAGGCTCCGGCTTCACGTGGGCGGAAGGACTCACTGTGAGGACTCACTGTGGAGTTCTCACTTTTCGGTGGTCGACGTAGTGTTAGTGTGGGGCTTGTCACCGGGAGCGGGGTCCACAGCGCCCACCCTCAGGCCTTTCCATCCTTCAGCTCCCGACTCAAGGCCTCCAGGCTTCTGTGAGGGCCAATTTGGCCATTTATTTTTTCCAAAAAGAGTAAACGCTGATAATTCAACCGACTTATTCCCAACGGATCCAGGCAGAGTTCGTTTCTGATAAGAACAGAGGGTCCTCAGCGACTTCTGCGGCCCAGGTCCGTTTTGGCTTGCCTGGCCCCCAAGGCTGGGAGAAACCGGCCTGTGGCAGCTCTTGCCCCTCCAAGGACGCAGCTGTCCCCTTTAAAATGGCACGATCTTGGCTCACTGCAACCTCTGCCTCCTGGGTTCAAGCGATCCTCGTGCCACAACCTCCTGAGTAGCTGGGATTACGGGTGTGTGCCACCATGCCTGGCTAATTTTTTTGAGGACGGTTTTGTCGCCCTTGTTTGTTTTATAAGGTGTGTTATTGTCTTTCTCAGCTTCACTGCAAGCCTTCTGCCTTGTGGTTTCAAGGATTGGGATTATCTTATTTCTGTATGTTTTGCTGGGTATTATGGTTTGTCCACCATATATTATTATTTACTTTGGTATGTGTCTGTGACGTGTGTGTCTTTTTCTATGTGGCTTGGTCTGGAACTCCTGACCTTCAAAGTTATAATCGCGCCCACCTCAGACGTCCTAAGTAGCGTGAGAAATTACAGGCGGCGAACGCGCCGCGCAGCGCTATTTTTGTATTTTTAGTAGAGAGGGGGTTTCACCATATTGGCCGGGCTGGTCTCCAGAGGCCCCAGAGGCCCCTGGAGAGTCCTCAAGTGTCCTTGGAAGGGCCCCCAGATATCCTAGTCGGGAGGGAGGGTTCACACAGGCTGTTTCATCCCAGGGACCAGAGTGTAGGTCCCCGGGGCTTCCCATAAGGACCCCCGAGGTCCCATTTGTCTTTCAGGTCCTGGGCATAAGATCTTTAGTTTGGAGGAGGTTTGAATTCCTACCGGGCCATGGTCCAAAGTAGCTGTGACTCTGTGTCCCACGCTGTGTCCCAATGGGAGCCATCTGACCCCTGGGGCAGCCACATGGGCCGAGGTGGAGGCGGGGGTAACCTCTGGTCTCAGCCAAAGCCACTGGATATAAACAGAGACAGGGACTGCTTATAATGATGAGAGATTTTGCTTGTTTTCAGATTTCTCGAGGGGAAGATAAAATGACAAAGAGGAAGAAGCTGCGGACCTCAGGTATGTTCATTCAAATGAACACTTCTTGATTTCTGCTTCTGCTCGTGGGAAGAATGTGGGCTTGTTTATTGCAGATTTGGCTAACATGACCATCCCAACCTCCTTAAAAGAAAATAAGGATTGGCCAGGTGCAGTGGCTCGTGCCTGTAATCCCAGCACTTTGGGAGGGCAAGCGGGCAGATCACAAGGTCAGGAGTTTGAGACCAGCCTGACCAACATGGTGAAACCCCATCTCTACTGAAAATACAAAAATTAGCCAGGTGTTGTGGCACGTGCCTGTAGTCCCACCTACTCGGGAGGCTGAGGCAGGAGAATCGCTTGAACCTGGGAGTCCGATGTTGCAGTGAGCTGAGATGGTGCCAGTGCACTCCAGCCTGGGCAACAGAGCAAGACTCTGTCTCAAAAAAAAAAAAAAAAAAAAGAAAAGAAGAAAAGGATTTAATTCAAATAGAAGGCCGGGTGTGGTGGCTCACACCTGTAATTCCAGCCCTTTGGGAGGCCGAGGTGGGCAGATCGCTTGAGTCCAGGAGTTCGAGACCAGCTTGGGCAACATAGCGAGATCCTGTCTCTACAATGTAAAGTAAGGAAATTAGCTGGTTGTGGTGGTGGCAGGCATCTGTAGTCCCAGCTACTCAGGAGGCTGAGGCAGGAAGATCGCTCGAACTGGGAGGTGGAGGTTGCAGAGAGTCAAGATCGTACCACTGCACTCCAGCCTGACTGATAAGAGTGAGGCCCTGTCTCAAAAAAGAAGGAAAGAAAGAAAAATAGAAATAATGGAGAGGGCATACAGGAAAAGTAAAAGTGAAAGTTTCTGGAGCTTCTGCAAGCCTCTGGTGGGGTCCCACAGCTTAGAGGAGGCCTCCCCAGGCTTCAGGGCAGCGGGACAGCCTCCCTGCGGAACCAGTCCTAGAGATGACCCCTGGAATAATGCTTGATGTACTATAAGGCTACTTGGTATGTGACTGAGTGTTTTACTCTGGGGCCCAAAACCTGGGTTCATCCCAGTTCTGCTCACTGTGTGGTGGTGGATGATTTCCTCTGTGCCTCAGTTTCCCCTTTTGTAAATTGGGGATAATAAAAGCCACCACCCTTTCCTTTAGAGCAGTGTTTATCAACTAGGTGTCAGGAAGGGATTTTGACCCCCAGGGGATAGTTGGCAATGTTTGGAGACTTTTTTGTTTTGGAGATAAAGTCTGACTCTTGTCCAGGCTGGAGTGCAGTGGCGAGATCTTGGCTCACTGCAGCCTCCACCTCCCGGGTTCAAGTGATTCTGCAGCCTCAGCCTCCTGTAGCTGGGACTACAGATGTACACCACCACACCTGCCTAATTTTTGTATTTTTAGTAGGGATAGGGTTTCACAGTGTTGGCCAGGCTGGTCTCAAACTGCTGACCTCGGGCGATCCGCCTGCCTCAGCCTTCCAAAGTGCTGGGATTGCAGGTGTGAGCCACTGTGCCCGGCCCAGAGACTTCCTTTGGTTTTCATAACTGGGGAAATGATACTCACATCTAGTGGGTGGAGGCCAGGGATGCTGCTCAAATATCCTACCATGCATAGGATGCCCCCCAACCACAGAGAATGATCCAATCCCAAATGTCCTCCAAGGTGAAGAATCCTGCCCTTAGAGCTCACATATGGGTTAGTATCTGTAAAGCACCCAGAACTGACCTAAGGCAGTACACAAATGTAGACTGCTGTTAACAATTCTTCTTCCAGACTTTCGTTTTTTTCATTTTTATTTTATTTATTTATTTTTGATACGGAGTCTTGCTCTGTCACCCAGGCTGGAGTGCAGTGGTGCGATCTTGGCTCATGGCAAGCTCCTCCTCCCGGGTTCACGCCATTCTCCTGCCTCAGTCTCCCGAGTAGCTGGGACTACAGGTACCCGCCACCACGCCAGGGTAACTTTTTTGTAATTTTAATAGAGACAGGGTTTCACCGTGTTAGCCAGGATAGTCTTGATCTCCTGACCTCATGATCCGCCCGCCTTGGCCTCCCAAAGTGCTGGGGTTGCAGGCGTGAGCCACCACGCCCGGCTCTTCCAGACTTTTTAAAAAAACTTTTATTTTGAAGTAATCTGGGACTTACAGAAAAGTTGCAAAAATAATTCAGAGAGTTCTGGCTACCCTTCCCCAAGCTTTCCCTAATGTTGACATCTAGCTCAGCCATAGGACAATGATCAACTATAGAACAGCATGAAAAACAGGGCAGGACTCTAACCTCAGTACACTACTTCTAGACTTTTTTTTTTTCCTTTGAAACGGAGTTTCGCTCTTGTTGCCCAGACTGGAGTGCAGTGGCGCAATCTCGGCTCACTGCAACCTCCGCCTCCCAAGTTCAGGTGATTCTCCTGCCTCAGCCTCCCGAGTAGCTGGGATTACAGGTGTCTGCCAGCACGCCCAGATAATTTTTGTATTTGTAGTAGAGATGGGGTTTCGCCACGTTGCCCAGGCTGGTCTCAAACTCCTGGCCTCACATGATCTGCCCGCCTCAGCCAAAGTGCTGGGCTTACTGGGATAAGCCATCATACCCAGCTGGTTTTTTTTTTTCCTTTTTTTCGAGACAGAGTCTTGCTCTGTCACCCAGGCTAGAGAGCAGTGGCGCAATCAGAGCTCACTGTAGCCTCGACCTCCCTAGGCTCAGCTGATCCTCCCACCTCAGCCTCCCAAATAGCTGGGACTACAGGTGTGTGCCACCATGCCTGGCTAATTTTTGTATTTTTTGGAAGAGACGAGGCCTCACTATGTTGCCCAAGCTGGTCTTGAACTTCTGGGCTCTAGCAGTCCACCTGCCTTGGCCTCCCAAAGTGCTCAGAATTACAGGTGTGAGCCACCATGCCTGGTCAGACATTTTCTGTATATATACAGATACAGTGTTGAGTTTTGTTTTTTTGGTGGTGTTGTTTTTTGTTTTTTGAGACAGAGTCTCATTCTGTCACCCAGGCTGGAGTGCAGCGGCATGATTTTGGTTCACTGCAACCTCTGCCTCCTGGGTTCAAGTGATCCTCATGCCTCAGCCTCCTGAGTATCTGGGATTACAGGCACCCGCCACCATGCCTGGCTAATTTTTGTATTTTTAGTAGAGACGGGGTTTCACCATGTTGGCTAGGCTGCACTCGAACTCCTGACTTCATGTTATCCGCCTGCCTTGGCCTCCCAAAGATTACAGGCATGAGCCACCATGCCTGGCCCAAATAAAGTGCTTTTATTGGAAAATAGATCATCACACTTACTGATCTGCAACCTCCATTTTTCACTTTGCAGTAGGTCATGACCATGTTTACTTGTCAGTATACCTATACAATTTCATCATTTGAAAAGAAAAACACCCCAAAATAGCCAGGCATGGTGGCGTGCACCTGTACTCCAGGCTACTTGGGAGGCTGAGGTAAAAGGATTGCCTGAGACCAGGAGTTAATGACCAGCCTGAGCAACATAATGTTATCCAGTCTCAAAAAATATATATTTTTAATTAACAAGGTGTGGTGGCACACACCTGTAGTCCTGGCTATTTAGGAGATTGAGGCAGGAGGATGGCTT